GAGAGAGAGAGAGAGAGAGAGAGAGAGAGAGATTGATTCAGAAATTCAGTACAGGATGTAACCCCAAGAAAACGAAGATGAAAACTATAGGGTTAGGTCCCAGCTGGTTTGACTCAGTGGACAGAGGATCGACCTGCTGGCCGAAGGGTCCCGGGTTCGAATCTCAGACAAGGCATAGGCCGGGGTTGGGGGCTCAACCCCTGGTTTGGGGCATGCAGGAGGCAGCTGGTCAATGATTCTCTCCCATCACTGATGTTTCTATCTCTCCCTCCCGCTCCCTTCCTCTCTGATATCAAAATAAATATATTTAAAAAAAATAAAATGAAATTGAGTAGGAAGGCTGGGGACCCAGCCTCTCTGAGGTGCATGGCCTGTGTGACTCAGAAAAGTGACTCAGGCCCCCCACTCAGATCTGCATCCCCGGCCACTTAGAGCTCCCCGACCTTTGGCAGCTTAGGGAATGTTTCACTCCCTAGTTTTTCCAAGAAAAACGGAGAAAGGATTAGAACATACCTTAGAGCAGCGGTTCTCAACCTTCCTCATGCCGCGACCCTTTAATACAGTTCCTCATGTCGTGGTGACCCCCAACCATAAATTTATTTTCGTTGCTACTTCATCACTGTAATTTTGCTACTGTTATGAATCGTAATGTAAATACCTGATATGCAGGATGTACTTTCATTGTTACAAAGTGAACATAATTAAAGCATAGTGATTAATCACAAAAACAATATGAAATTATATATGTGTTTTCCGATGGTCTTAGGCGACCCCTGTGAAAGGGTCGTTCGACCCCCCAAAGGGGTGGCGACCCACAGGTTGAGAACCGCTGCCTTAGAGGGTTTGGCCCAGGATTCAATGTGTAACATTTGACAGAACGAAAATAGAAGTTACACCATTGTAAACGCTGGCTGAGTCTCGGTTGAACTCTTAAAAAATAGTATTTTAATGGAGAATAACATTTTTAATGCCTGCAGCAACCACGCAAGCTTCTTACCTTTTCTATTAAAACAGCAGCAACAAAAACCCGCAAAATTAATCCGAACGAGACGCGGGCGCCCCCTAGCGGTTCTCAGGGTAACATCTCATTTTAACCTGATGGGGCAGCAGGTCTGACCCCACAAGTGGCAGGAATTCGGGCATTTCCCCCACGGGGGCTCTGTCTCCCAGCTCTCCTGGCGAGGGGTCCCGCTCTGGGGTCGGGGTGCCTCAGACTCCAAATGTTTCTTTGTGGAGACAGCGCTGGGCAGCGACCTTTGCAAGCCCCGCGGCCATCAGCAACCTTGCTAAGCAGCCGGGTGGGCAGTCCTGAACAGATTTTGGAATAACAGAGGGGCCTGGCCGGTGTGCTCGATGGTTAGAGCGGACCCCGGGCACCAAAGGCTCTCGGGTTCGATTCAAAGGCACGTACCTGGGTTGCAGGTTCGATCCCCAACCCGGTCGGGGGGTGTGTGTGAGGCAACCAATCCATGTGTCTCTCTCATATCCATGTTTCTCTCTCGCTCGCTTCCTCCCTTCCACTCTTTCTAAAAATCAATGGAAAAATTATCCTGGGGTGAGGATAGAAATAATGAGGAGGGGAGAGGTCTATGGGGGGAAAAGGAGACATATGTAAAACTTAAAACAATAAAGAATTAAAAAAAAAAAAGCACGAGGGGACCCAGGAACGAGGATGGATGTGTTCACATAACTGATTCCTGAGATCTGCCCAGGTGGTCAGTGACCCCGGGGTCAGGGAGGTGTGGGGGTGCCTGCCTCCGGTGGCATTTGTGAAAACTGGGGGGCTCAACCCCACGTGGGGAGGGACAGAAGAGGAAGAGCAGGTTCAGGAAAATAGGTGCACAGCACAAGTGTGTGTGTGTGTGTGGAGGGGGTGCCTCTGGGGCAACAACCACCACGGGGGCCATGCCCCAGCCCTGGGCAAAGACCAGCTGTCAGACTGTGTGTGATCAGGGGCGTGTGACCCTGCCAGCACCTTGATCTTAGCCAATGAAACTGACTTCAGGCTTTTGGCATCCTGACCTGTAAGATAATACACTCTCTTGTTTGAAGCCATGAAGTGTGTGGTCATTTGTTACAGCAGCAACAGGACACTAATACTCTCACTTTAGGGGACGAGTCGATGCAAACGTACTGGGCAAAACAGTACCCAATCCCAGTCTTGAAGGGCATGAGCTAGGGGAGGGGAGGAAGGTCGGACCAAGGACACGCTGGAGAGCTGGGTAGGTCCAGTTAGTTTGGAGAATGCATGGTGTCCAGTGGGGATGAGCCTGGGGTGGGCGCGGGAAGTGGGAACCCACCATGTCCCTCAGAAGGGACTAACAGCCCGAGGGACCCTCCCCAGCCACCATGGCCTTGCCAAATCTGGGCCCAGCCCACACGTGTGTCCACGATGTGGGCGTAGGCATGTATATGCTTTTGTACCAGTGTGTGCGTGTGCATTTGTGCCTTCACGGGCATGTGTGTGCATGCGGTGTGGGTGTGGGTGTGGGTGTGGGTGTGGGTGTGGGTGTACGCTCTGCACCCTCACCCAACCAAGCGACCCCTTAGATGTCTGCTCACTCATGACTAAGAACCTCATTCATATCAGAAATCATCAATGCCCCTTTATTTTCCTGTCTTTTTTCCCTAAATGAGTATTGAGCATCTGTAGTTGGTTGTGTGAAAACATTTATTGATGCACAAGATGAAGCAGGATTCAGAGACAATGAGGCATCAGAGATTTGCTGCATAAATATGGCCCAGGTTCCAGGCCAACACGTGGAAAGTCTTTAGAGCCGGCTAAGAAGATGGTTCCAACAGTCTCTGGGGGGAAGGTGGGGATTCACAGGGCATGGCTGGAATGAGCTGGGTGACTGTAGGACTGTCGCTGGGTCTCTGGAAACAGCCCACCAACTGTAGCTGGGTCTCTGAAAACTGCTGGGCAACTGTAGCTGGGTCTCTGGAAACTGCCAGACAACTGTAGCTGGGTTACTAGAAACTGCTGGACAACTGTAGCTGGGTCTCTGGAAACTGCTGGACAACTGTAGCTGGGTCTCTGGAAACTGCTGGACAACTGTAGCTGGGTCTCTGGAAACTGCTGGACAACTGTAGCTGGGTCTCTGGAAACTGCTGGACAACTGTAGCTGGGTCTCTGGAAACTGCTGGACAACTGTAGCTGGGTCTCTGGAAACTGCTGGACAACTGTAGCTGGGTCTCTGGAAACTGCTGGACAACTGTAGCTGGGTCTCTGGAAACTGCTGGACAACTGTAGCTGGGTCTCTGGAAACTGCTGGACAACTGTAGCTGGGTCTCTGGAAACAAGTGTTATATGGGTGCTCCAAGCAGCTGGTGGATTGTAGGGGGCGGCCCTGGTGAAGGAACCTCCTAGGTGTTGAGTAAGTGTCCCCCGACTCCAGCTCTCGCTCCAGGAGAAATGAATAGATGGCTGTGAAGAACGGGGTGATTGCAGAGGGAAGTCCTCTTCATGGTGCTTCAGGCCTTTGCAAGAGTGACTTGTGTTGAGGGTGGGGCGGCCAGGGAGAGGTCAACAGGAGAGGGAGAGGAGACTTATGTAATACTTTAAACAATAAAGAATTTAAATTAAAAAAAAAAAAGGTGACTTGTGTCTGTAGGTGCAGAGGCCAGGGGGTCCCGAGTCAGCGTCTGGGAAGCTCTGCGTATGTGCTGCTGTCAGCGGTGGGCTCCGTGGGCTGTGGGGGCACAGCTTGAGCTGCCCTGAGGGTGAGGGCCCGCGGGTCCAGCTGGGCGTATGTCACCTCCTGGGCGTCCCCCGCATCAGGGCTCTGAGGGAGAAAGCAAGGGCAGGTTAGTGTGGCCGGGGCAGAGGAGAGGGGGCTGTGGGAAGGACAGACTAGGGCGGCCGGCTTCCACGTGGCCCCTGTGATCCCACCTCCCGAATCTCCATTGTGGAGTTCCCGTCCACATAGCATCAGAGTCGGTCTGTGCAACAGGTAAAGGGTGTCCCAAAATTCACGCAAGATTTGAATTTTGCGTGAGCATTAACAAAAACAACAACAAATAAAAGCCTAATTTTACTTGGTTTATTGAATCAGATTCTAATATCTGTTGCCCTTTGATTTCAATCCCTTCAATTTGATAAGCATTACCAAGTACCAATGATGGCCCAGGAGCAGGGACAATGAAGACCACGGCTTTGCGTATGTGCCAGCAAAGCCGTGGAGGCCATTTACCTGATGTTCTATTCCATACATAACCCTATACTGTCTACTTTATGAATCAATAAAACATTTACAATTTTTATTATAAACCTGTGTTTTCTATCAAAATTACTTCTTGTGTGAATTTTGGGACACCCTTTAGAATATGACAGAAGGGAGGGCATGCTGCCGCCATGGAGAGGCCTCAAGACACATTGGGCTCCTGCCTTCCCTCCCTGGGGCCCCGCCCTCTTGGGTAGCAGCTGCCATGGAGAAGCCCACGTGTGGAGGAACTGAGGCCTCCCGCCCTCCGCCTAGGAGACTGTCATCTTGCACGTGGACCTGCAGCCCCAGTCAAGCCTTCGGATGAATGCAGCCCATCATCATGACAGCAGCCTCGTGAGAGTCCGAGAGCCGGAACCACCCAGCAGATTCAATCTGCTTCCAAATTCCGGCCCAAGAAACTGAGATACTTGTGTGACGCTGTTAAAGTGGGGGCAGTTTGGCCCCGGCTGGTGTCTCTCAGGGGTTAGAGCATTGGCTGCAGACGGAAGGGTCGCAGGTTCAATCCCTGGCACTGGTCGAAGCACGTGTGGATAACCAGTCGATGTGCCTCTATCACATCAATGTTTCTCTCTCTCTCTTTCTCCCTCTCCCTCCCTCCCCTCCCCTCTCTCGGAAAAAATCATAAAGATATCCTCAGGTGAGGATTAAAAAAAAACAAGTTGGGGTTCATGGCTACACAGAAATAGGTGACTAATCCAAGGACTTACTGGGCTCGGCGTCTCCCTGCTTTTCTCAGGAGGTGCACAGACTGCGCCCTCATCTGGTGGGGAGAGAAGAGTGGTCAGATCTTTGGGGTGAACCTTTGCAGGCAAATTTGCCTGAAACCTCACGGGTTTAGGTTTCCACCTCCAGCTAGAACAGCGGTTCTCAACCTGTGGGTCGTGACCCCTTTGGGGGTCGAACGACCCTTTCACAGGGGTCGCCTAAGACCATTGGAAAACACATATATAATTACATATTGTTTTTGTGATTAATCACTATGCTTTAATTATGTTCAATTTGTAACAATGAAAATACATCCTGCATATCAGATATTTACATTACGATTCATAACAGTTAGCAAAATTGTTATGAAGTAGCAATGAAAATAATTTTATGGTTGGAGGTTCACCACAACATGAGGAACTGTATTTAAAGGACCAGAAGGAGGAGAACCACTGCTCTAGAACATGCAACACCATTGCTCCCTCCCCATTACATCCTCAGTGGCAATCAATGCCCAGTCCCCTTTTCCCAAGCATTTCCCTCTCCTGTCCCTTACCTGGGGTGCCCTCTGTGATGTCAGCAGCCGGGTTAAGCCTGAGGAGAAAGGACAAGT